TCAACGGGAGGGCCTTTACTTACTATATAAATATATGCCTCTCGGAGAGCCCGGCAAGCTACAGAGAGTATCCTGCCCACACAGGCAGAGCCTGGCAAGCTTCCCGTGGTGTATCCGATATGCCAAAACCAGTAATGACTACAGGTCTAATTTTCCTGACCCTGAAAGAACCTCCAATCTTTAGGAAAAGACGAGTAAGAAGGGGCTGTAAAATATCAGGGCTTGGAGGAATAGAGATGTTACTGGCACCTGTTCGAGCAAATCGATGAACAAAGGGATGATAGTGACAGTGATATGTACATAATGGAGTATTATGTAGTTACAAGAAAAGATGAAATCGTGCAGATTGCTACACACTGGATGTAACTGGAGATCATTATGTTAAATGGAATATGTCAGAGGGAGGTCAAATACCAGAGGGTTTCAATCATCTTGTAGGTATATAAACAAAACAAGGAAAAAGATACATGGAATGATGACAAACAAAATAGATTGTATTGCAAAACTGAGATAACTAAGAAATTAGGAGTGAAAATGAAAGAGAAGGAAGATGTAGCTTAATATTACAATACAAATTAAAATTTGGAGAAGAAAGAAAAAAATTGGGGTGGGGTGGGAGAGAGCACTGCTCCATTACACAACCAGGTATGGGACTCCCCAAATCATGTGATACCAGGAATATCCAGATTTTTTTATTTGTGTATGTGTATGTATCTTTTTTCTAGCTTAGGTAATAAGGTTATAATACAATGGTGTCAAATTTTACAATCTTAACATGCAACATTACTATACTTTCATCATCATCGATGTGCCCAACATCCTCCGGTACAGTTCTTTTTTATTTTTATTTAATACTTGAAGATTGCTACACTGTGCTCACAAATACTGTATTGGGAACACTCCATCATTGTCTTAGGTTTCCTTTCCTCTCTCCTGCCTACCACCTCGAGACTATAGCTCACTGACCATATCTCAGGGTTAGAACATCCAGATATTACATTAAGAATTCACACCTAGGGACTGGAGTGATAGCACAGCGGGTAGGGCATTTGCTTTACACACAGCCAACCCGGGTTCGATTCCCAGCATCTTATAAGGTCCTCCAAGCACCATCAGGAGTGGTTCCTGAGTGCAGAGCTAGAAGTAACCCCTGAGGATCACTGGGTGTGACCAAAAAAAATCCACACCCAACTCCGGAAAGCAACACAGTTTTTTTCTCACTCTCCAAAATTACTTATAAGACCAAACTTATCCCAAAGTGGCTGAAACAAATATATTAATCTGAGGCTTAAAATTTTAAAAATCAATCTTACCACAATTGTTGATTTTATTCATGTATTAGTGGAGTTTACAAGACTCATGAATCCTAATTAAAACTTGTCACTGTTCTCCCGTTGTTCATCGATTTTCTTGAGCGGGCCCAGTAATGTCTCCATTGGAGACTTTGTTGTTACTGTGTTTGGCAAATCAAATACATCACAGGTAGTTTGCCAGGTTCTGCCGTGCGGGTGAGATACTCTTGGTAGCTTGCCAGTGTCTCCGAAAGGGGCGGAGGAATCGAACTCGGGTTGGCCATGTTGGCTGCTTGCAAGGCAAATGCCCTACCCGCGGTGCTATCACTACAGCCCCAATTAAAACTTAAATTGGTAAAAATTTTACCTCCTTTTTTTTTTTGCTTCCTCGAAGAATTCCTCTGTTTAATAATGAATTTGGGCTGGATAGTATCTCACCTGCATGGCAAAGCCTGGCAAGCTACCCGTGACGTATTAGATATGCCAAACACAGTAACAACAAAGTCTCCAATGGAGACATTACTGGGTCCACTCGAGCAAATTGAAGAACAACCGGAGGACAGTGACAGTGACAATAATGAATTTAGTTGTGCTCACACACATTCTGCTTGTAGCACTAGATGAGGGTCCTCTAACTTTAGATGGTGCCTGCTGAAAGTTGCACCCTGGACGGTCAAGGTCCTCCTGTTATTCATCAATTTGCTTGAGCGGGCCCAGTAACATCTCCATCGTGAGACTTGTTACTGTGTTTGGCATATTGAATACGTCACGGGGAGCTTGCCAGGCTTTGCTGTGCAGGTGAGATACTCTCGGTAGCTTGTCGGGCTCTCCGAGAGGGGCTGAGGAATCGAACTCGGGTCAGCCATGTTGGCTGCGTGCAAGGCAAATGCCCTACCGCTGTGCTATCGCTCCAGCCCGTTAAAATATTAAATGTAATCAAATATTTTGAATAACTTTATAAAAATTTAAAACTGTATAAAAAATTGTTCGGTTGGATTGACAATTATTTGGTCACCATCCCTGATGACCTTAAACAAAACATGTGCAACTAAACCCTGATGTTTTTGAGTACACTTTTAAGAAGTGAAATCTATCAAATTGGATTATTTTTTAAAAATAGATAAGGTGAAAATCTGTCACAGTACTTTTTGTTCTAACTTCTCATTTTCTCTTTTCACTTATTTTCCTAAAAGCAGCAAGATGATATCACATTACACCTTGCACCTTTTGCTTGAAAGCATCAGCTTAATATCCAAGTTTCTCAAAGTTCTGCTTCCCACAAGATCTCCCCTCTGCCACTCCATACCAAGATTCTCTATTCCTCCAGTATCAAATAATTTGTGTTCCCAGCATAAGACCTTTATGTCTCTGGCTTATGCTGGTATTTCCTGATAATAGAACATAAATTTGGTAAATCTAAGTTTATTTGAAGTTTTGGGTTCTCTGTTGGACTGTTTAATAACATGATCTGTAACATAGATGCTGCAATATAAGACAAAGAAAAGAATACTTATTGAAATTTATTTAAAAACTCATTAATTCCACATTGGTTTAGTCTCCTGGAATAGATAAGTGAAAAAATTAACATTTTAGCTTATCTTGACTCTTCAATTCAAAACTATAAGTCATTTTATAAGCCTGACAGATAATATTATTCAGTATTTTCTTTTTCTTTATTTTTTCTTATTTTGCTTTTTGGGTCACACCCAGGGTTTACTCCTGGCTTTGCATTCAGAAATTACTCCTGGTGTTGCTTGGAGGACCATATGGGATGCCGAGAATTGAAACTGGGTCAGCCATATTCAAGGGAAACACCCTTCCTGTTGTACTATCACTACAGCTCCTTTATCAGAATTTTCTTTTCTTTACAATTGTGCCTGCAATCTGGAATCTATCATGGTTCTCTATAGATATCTAATTGCTTTATAGCGAACACCTAAATAAAAACTTTATCCCATAGACTGATGAGGACGGTGGGAGAATGGAACAGAGCAGGAGATATAAACAAGGGGTAAAAGAAAGCAGTATGTTAATTTCAAAGCAATGTCCATAGGATTTTCTCTTGGGTGGAGTGGTTATGATTATGGAGTGAAAGAAGTCAAAGATTTCTGCATATGAATTGAGTTAAATTAATGATGAATATCACAAAGCATTGGAAATAAAAATAAAAATATATACATATATGTATATATAGCTGTATAAAGGAGGGATAGCACAGCAGTAGGGTGTTTGCCTTGTGTGCAGTCAGCCCGGCCGAGCTGGGTTTGATTCCTCCACCCCTCTCGAAGAGCCCGGCAAGCTACCGAGAGTATCTCGCCCGCATGGCAAAGCCTGGCAAGCTACCCGTGACGTATTCAATATGCCAAACACAGTAACAGCAAGTCTCAAAAAAAAAAAAAATGGAGACATTACTGGGCCCGCTCGAGCAAATCGATGAACAACGAGAGGACAGTGTTTGTTTGTTTGTTTGTTTATAATTGGCTGTCAATCAGGAGGTAAATTTTACATGCTAGAGTAAAAATAATGTGTAAGGTCTCTAGTCTTTACCATAGACAGTTAGTAGAAGAAACTTTTAACCCAATTATACTTCTCTAAGAGACTGAGCCTGCCACACAACTTCCTATGTTTCTTCCTTATCTAGGATGGAAATAAAGGACATTGAGATTAAAGGAGGCTATTGATAGTGAAAGCAAGATTTTGCATATGAACACAGTTTCAGGGTCTACCTGGCTTTATTTAGTCAGGAAAGCACTGCCCAAACCAATCATACCTCCAAATATCCTATCAGATCCAGGCCAGCAGCCTTGTTCTTTTCCATTTAGCCTTAACTGGGTGGGTCTGAAAGCTCCACCTACTTAACAGTATATAAATACCTTGCTTACAGAAAAGCAAACAAGATTGACTACCAAGCTACAGAAGTCCATGAACTACAGAAATCCACAGGGAGATTCACCTGAAGACCAGCTACAAGAAGTCAGGCAGAACAGAAATATAATTTTTTTTGGTGAGTAGCAGTACTACAGCATTATGTGGTAAAGATAGGGCTGGAGTGGGAATGACACCAAGCATATAATTTAGTACTACATTAGCACCTGTTTTGGGTAGGGCCTTATTGTACATATTTGAATATTCTCTATCTACTATTGAACTTACAGGAAGTCCTTGGCATTCTCATCTCATTGATTTAAGGTGAGTTCTTTCCCTAATCTCAGAGATTAATTAGATGACTTTGGGAGAATCTCACTTAGTACCAGGGGCTTTATTTCTAGGAAACCCCTCTGAGATTGATTGGGGTGGATGTGGATTTTACTGGTGGTGAGGTCAATCAGTGGTTGCCTTGAAAGTAGCAGTGGACAGTGGCACTGGTAAATTGCTATACCTTCTTGCATGTAGGACAACCTTGTCATCCTCAGGATGGAATTTTAGCATCCTTACAGATATCTGTACCTCAGAATTTCTGAACTTCACTTGTCTTGACATTACCAAACATCTGCAATTGGCTGGTTGTGGAGAGTGGAGATCTGCTGGGCACTGACCTGTGTACCTGGGACTGGAGATGTGCAAGTTGTCACGGAGCATGTCATTGAGAAAGAGACATTGATGTCAGTTCAGAGTACTGAGCATGTGCTTGTTTTTGACAGGAGAGAGCCCTGAGGAGACGAACATTCTGAGAAAATCCACTTCAGCCCTACCTTCTTGGTCCTGAGGATGGCAGTGTCAGCAACACTGGCCACTGTGCAGGCAGAGCTCCTCTGTCCCATCTGCCTGTCCCCTTTCAATGACCCCGTCACCATCGCCTGCGGGCACAACTTCTGTGCCTCCTGCATTCGTATGTCATGGAGCAATCTACAGTACATGTTCCATTGCCCTGCCTGTGAATATCCACACATGGAGGGGCTCTTCACTGACAACCCCCAGCTGGGCAGGCTGGTGGACCTGTCCCAGTACCTCCACAGCTTCAGGAGCAGCAAGATGGTGCAAGGAGAGGATCACATGTGTAAGGAGCACAACCAGGTCCTTAGCCTCTTCTGTGAGGATGACCAGAAGCTGGTGTGTCCCCAGTGCATCCAGCTTCCTCCCCACCAGGGCCACAATGTGAAACCTGTGGGGGAGGCCGCCTTTCATCAGAGGCAGAGGCTCAGTAGTTACAAGGAGTCCCTGAAGAAAAGGTTGGCACAAGTGCAAAAACTAGCAGTCACCCAACAGAGAAAAATACTGGAAATGAAAGAATACATGGCAAAGCAGAGAGGTCAATTAGTCTTTGAATTTGAGCAACTGTACCAGATTGTGGAAAAAAAGCAAGAAGCAACGTTCTCCAGGTTGAATCTAGAACACAGAGACCTTCAAAATAAACTCAGAGCCAACTTCACTGCAATTTCTGATTACTTCAATACCCTGAAAGCTCTGTTCATAGAGGCAACAGAGAGGATTGTGATGTCTGAGGGGAGTATGCTGAGAGAGGTTGAGAATATCCGGAACAGGTGTGAGAACCTAAAATTTCCATCTGTGTGGACTGTTGAGTTCAAGAAAGAAGGCTGGAGTCTTCCTCCCCTGTACTCAGAGCTTGAGAAAATCATCCAGAGATTCCAGGAAGAAGTGACTCTGGATCCCCTAACGGCACATCCCAGTCTCTGTCTATCGGAGGACAGAAAATCTGTGATCTATATGAAGAAAAAATCAAAAGTTGATGGGAAATCAAAGCAATATCCCAATGATCTAGTGGTTCTGGGCTCTGAAGGATACCGTTCTGGTCGACATTACTGGGAAGTGCAGGTGGGCAACAAGCCTGAGTGGGCCGTGGGGGTGTGCACAGATGCCCCTTCCAGCAAGGGGCAGCTGTCCCTGTCAGGTAAAAACAAACACTGGATGATACAGCTGCAGAATGGTGACTACCTGGCCAGAGGTTCTGTAACAGTCCATGCTTTGAAGGGCAGGCCAACAGAGATTGGAATTTTCCTGGACTATGAGCTGGGACAGATTTCTTTTTATAATGCCCGTGACAGGTCTCACATCTATTCCTTCCTGGAGACATTTTCTGATGTACTAAAGCCTTACTTCCTTGTGGGCCAGGATTCTACCCCTCTTATAGTGTCTACAGTAAGAGATTTATCTACAGAATGAATTTATTTTTTATCTTATACTTTTTGGACTGCAAATCGAAGATTAATTCAGTATCAGTGAATATCAAAATGTTTTCAAAAATATCACTCTGGACAAAAACTGAGTCCTGAAAGAATGTAAATTGATATTCATGAGATCCTTTCAGTAGAAATATTGCAAACAACAGTGTCTAAAAGCAAAATAAGAGAGAGAAGAAAAATGTCTGCCATAGAGAAAAATGAAGCCAGATGGTGATGGTGGCAGGGGGTGGTGAAGAGGGTGGATGAAGGGAAACTGGTGGCAGGAAATGTACATTGGTGAAGGGATGGGTGTTGGAACATTGTTTGAATGAAACTCAATTATGAACAACTTTTATGAACAACTTTTATGAACAACTGTACATCTTACAGCAATTCAATAAAAATTTATTTAAAATATTCATTTGATTTCAAATCCACTTCAAAAGAGTTTTCTCTCTTTATTTATATTCTATTTTATCATCTTGTTTCAATATGAGAGATGACATCTTGGTAACTGACACATGCAGAAATTAAAGGGTTGACTTCATTCACTGCCTGTAGTCATTACACACTGAATACTCTGTGCAAGTTAGTTTGTGCCCTTGTCTTCTCATCAAACTGAGACTTACTATTCATGGTGAAATGGTAGAACATTATCCTATGGTTTGTAGTTTATAAGACATAACAACCTAGAAGGGAAGCTTCTGCATAGTTTTCTGTTTTAAGTAGATCAAAATGAAATCTTTGTGGGAGACTGTATGGAGTTGGTTTGTGAAGATTGTGTCATGGATCCCTCTTCTGAACAATTTCATCTTCCCTGTACTAAAAGTACCCTGGGTAATATATTTCTGCCATTGTCTGAACATCTGATGTAAATTATGCAAAAGTGTTATACGTACTTAGTTATACTTAATCATCATTTACTCTCATTAGTATGATCGACTTTTTAGGAGAACTTCCTTAATCCATAGAGATGTTTATTTCATCCTGATTATACTGAGCATGAAGCCCACTCCATTCCCTTCTCATTGTCTTGCTCCTGTCTGTGGTGGCAGATAAGGTTTCCTGTTTGTACATTATTTTTTTTCCAATAATGACCTTCTTCCTACTAAAACAAATTGTAGTTTTTGCATGAGTAGGGTATAAAATTGCCTTGCCTCAACTTCAATAGTTTTTATTAACATTAGCATAAGTCCTACATGAACACCTTTCCCTTTTCGTATTTATCTAAAGAATTTCAGGTGGAAGAGAAAAAGGCAATTAATGAATCATCTTAGCTAGTTTCATACTTCTGCATGAGTTGGGAGGAAAACATTGACCTCTGTGGATTGTCTCCTAATACATCTTTACAGGAATAGGGCCTGATGTTGGAGATGGTCTCTCAGGCAGAAGGAGTCACATCGGTTTCCTGATTCCTTCCAAGGTAATAGACAGAGAGTTTTCACTCCTTTTAATTTTTTATGGTTTTTTTTTTTGCTGTATGGCTATAATTTATTAGTAATGTGTAAATGGCAAAGGAACAGGTGTTAGAGCCTGCCCGGATTCCCAGAGTGCAGGGAAATCCAGGGAAGAACGGCTACATAATAAATTATCTAAATTAAATATATAGACATTCTTTTTTACAAGCATAAAAAAAATGTCACTTTTCTTCAACTTTTAAAATACCTGCCCAAGACAGGGGCCAAGGGAGCGACCCCTTTTTATAAGGGAGCGACCCCTTTTTATAAAGGAGTTACTCTCCTTTTTAAACGGAATGTGACTTTGAGTGCCTAGTGTCGGTAGGAACAAAATGTCTTGAAAGGGAATTAGAAAAAAAAAAAAGTATGTAACGTGCTCACCTGATAACAGTAAGATGGAGAAAATTCAATGGAAAGAAGAATCCTAGTTTTAATGCCTCAACTAACTACTAGTAAAACTAATTTCTAGTGTAATGAGACCAGAGCATGAAATCAAAGTGAAACAAGAAATTTGAGGATTGGCTTGTTTCTCTCAGTATTGGTAATAATAACTGCCTTCTTATACCAGTTAGTTAATTCCATTAATTTATATACAATCACGTGTCTGTTTAGAGATAAACAAAACAATCAGCCCTAAATAATTTTTTTCTGCTAGACTGAATGCTAAATGAGTTGAGATGGTGAATAATGTTTAATGTGTCTGATATTTTAAACTCTATGAATTCATATGTTTAAAATATGATAAGTGGGGGTATCTGATTAAACTACAATATATATAATATTATTTTCAACAGGAAGTGGCAAATATGTTAACTAAAATGACAAATTATAACCTGTAGAGAATTGCAGGACAGCCTTGGTGAACTCATCAGGATACGTCTATGCCTTGTGCGGTCATTCATCCACTCTAGAGACTTACAGTGTCATCTGTCTGTTGACAAGTCCTGAAACTAATTTTGGACAGAAACTCTTTTCTTTTTCCTTCCCCTTTTTTGGGTCACACCCAGCGATGCTCAGGGGTTAGTCCTGGCTCTGCACTCAGGTATTACTCCTGGTAGTGCTTGGGGGGATCCTATGGGATGTTGGATATTGAACCTTGGTCAGCCATGTACAAGGCAAATTCCCTACCCACTATTCTATCTCTCTGTCTTCCAGAAACCCTTTAATTAAATGAAACCCAATTTGTTTCTTTTTTGTTTCTCTTATCTTGGCCATTTAATCATATCATTGAAAACACCTTTATGGTCCAAGTCCTAGAATATTCTGCCTATAATTTTCTGTGTATTTTATAGATTCTGGTTTATTATCAAGGTCTTTGATCCTATTTGATTTTTTTGTGCATGTCAGGGGTGAGATGTGGATCTAGCTTTATTTGTTTAAATGTGTGGCTATTCATTTTCCCAAAAACTGTCACTGATGAGTTTCTCTGTGCTTTTTTCCCCCCTGTACCCAGCTCTTTTGTTTAATGTTAGTAAAATGTTAGAAATTAAACAAAATATCTGGGGATTTGTCTTTGGTTACTCTATTTTTTTTTTTTTGCTTTTTTTTTGGGTCACACCCGGCAATGCACAGGGGTTACTCTTGACTCTGCGCTCAGGAATTACCCCTGGCGGTGCTCAGAGGACCATATAGGATGCTGGGAATTGAACCCGGGTCGGCTGTGTGCGAGGCAAATGCCCTACCTGCTGTGCTATTGCTCCAGTCCCTGGTTACTCTATTTTAACACATTGGTCAGAAAATCTATCCTTATCCCAGTACAATTCTGTTTGGATGTTTCATAGTATATTTTCAAGTTTGATGATGAGCTACGTCACAGTTTCTTATTTTTCATTAGGCTTTGGCTATTTGAGGTACTTTTATAATTTCATACAACTTCATTATTGGTGTTTTAAATCTGTGAAAAAGTCATCTGAATTTGGATAGGGTTGATTTGAATATATAATTTAGGTATGATGATCATTTTGACAACACTGATTCTTCTAATACATGAACAGTAGAATATATATATATATATATATATATTTTTTTTTTTCATTCTATGGTCTTCTTCCAGAGACTCTAAAACCAAGCTCCCGGAAGAGAGCAAGTCAGAGTCTCCTGCCCCCGTGCCTGGCTGTTCTCACTGGGGCCCCTTGGAGGAGGGCGGGATTGAGTTTCCCTCTCTGCAGAACCCTGACAGCTGAAGACCTTTGGGACCCAGCCAAAGCCATGCTGAGACCACTCTCCACACACTTGGACGAGGAACTGGCAGAGGAACCCAGGTGTGCGGGACCTGGGGCTGAGATCTCCAAGCCTGCTCGGTTCAAAACTGGGGTTCCTCCACCCAGCTCCCCCACTTTCCAGTAGCTAGATAGTTACACCCACCAACTGCCGTGTAACCCCATCAACGGCCAGGATCCAGAGACTCTAAAACCAAGCTCCTGGTAGCTCTCTTATTCTCTAGTTCTCACTCTCGGAGAACCCGGCAGGCTACTGAGAGTATCATACCTGCCTATATGCCTGACTAGGAACGCCTGTAAAGGTGATTAGAGGCTGCCCCAAAAGCTTCCATCCCTCTCGAAGAGCCTGGCAAGCTACCGAGAGTATCCCGCCCGCACGGCAGAGCCTGACAAGCTAACCGTGGCATACTCGATATGTCAAAAACAGTAAAAATGAATGGTCCTCACTCCCCTGATCCCGAAGGAGCCCCCAATATGTCATCAGGCTACACTAGTACGTGACAGGGACTAATGGAGATGTTACCAGGCCTGCTCGAGCGAATTGATGAACAACAGGGTGATAGTGATAGTGATGGTCTTCTATCTCTTTCTTAAGTGAATTATGAAAACAATTAGTTTTTAAAGTAGTTTTTTATATGAGTTCACCTCACATTTAAATGTTTTTAAATTTATTTTTATATAGAAAAGAGCCACAGTTGTTCATTATGGATCTTTTAAATTGATTGAATAACAAAGCTGTAATATTAAAATAAATAAGCATAAAATCAATTTAATTGAAAACATTTGATTACAAGGTTAAGTCCTTATTTAAAATTTATTAAATTATTGCTTGTTGAGCCATTTATGATATTGTTTTTGTTTCTTGAGTTTAGTTGATTTTCATGTTACTTTTGCAGCTAATTTGGTGTGCTCCAACTGAAATTTTAATATTGAGGAATTACAAGGGGTAACTTGATTCAGAGACTTTAGGAACTATGGTCTGGGCCAATGAGGTGACATGATGGTTGCTTTGGGAGGTGGGACTGGCTGCTGGAACAGAAGTATAGGGTGTTGTGGGGAAGCTACCCACCCTGATCCCGAAAAATACCAGAGTTCTTAGCCTAGGCACTGGGTACAGAAATCATTTGCAATTTAGCGTCTCTTCAGAGAATGTTCATGAAATTGAGCCCTTGGCATGGCTGCAGAGGTGGGGTATTCATGCAGTTGCTGAGGTTTCTGGCCAAGATATTTGGCCCACCTGATTCCCTAGGGTGATCCAGGGTTTTCAGCTGTGGTGATGGTGTTTCCATGAATTTTAGCTGCTTCGGTGCATCCCTGGGGGACTA